GCATGTCTAAGAAGAGGAATCGAGAATTGTAGAAATGGTTAAATTAAGAAGTCAATCATACTTCGTTCCAATATCAAGTCTTAGAGTCAAGATTGTGACATGAGTGACAAGTCTTAAGTAGGTTTGTAACACTTATCAAATGTAGAATAAGAAAGTTCCTTATTCTTGTACATTTGAAGTTGGTAAGTTGTGATGTCTTGGATAAGACAAAGACCAACTAGGACTAATTGAGTGAAGTGTTAAACTTGATAAGAAGCTACACTAACTCTTGAATATTTGTTTTGTCAAGAAATGTTTCTTGACAAGAGAACCTCATATGTCAAGGAGTTAGTGGGAGTCTTAATGTCTTGAAAAGTTTCAAGAACAAATCAAGAGTAAACCTTGATCATCACTAGCACGTGACTTGAGGTTTATAACCTGTCATACTTTCTGTGCCATTCCAGTTGAGTTAGCTGTGTATGTGAGTTCTATGAATTCTCATTTGAATGCATAAAGGCAAGCACCTAGATCAATGGAAAGTACATTGATAGGTAAAGGTGAGCTGCTTAACAACCTGGAAGCAATGGTGGATTTGTCACAAACATCGTCTTATGATTGTTGTTATGACAAATTCACATGGATAAGAACGCATACACTTTAAAAAAAAATCTAAGTGTCATAAGGTTTCCCTCCTTCATGAAAATGATTGTAAGGAAATGCTTTCACTAAGAGAGATTTTAAGTAGATAGCAATTGTGAAAATTGCATTCTCAAATTCGATTATGATTACGGCATCCCTTTTCATTGTTCAAATTATGAGATTTGGTAATTGGTCTGAACATTTGGGACTTAGTAAGTAACATAAATTCTGAATTGTTTAGACACACATGTGAGCTATCTAAGGCAAATGTGTATGAGCTTAAAAAGCTTAGATAAAGGCTTATCAAAGCATTAGGTATTCGAAAAATGAACTTAAAAAAATTCAATAAGCATTGTTTTCTGGAAGTTCAATTGTTTTCTGAATACATGTCAAAGCTAGTGGGAGCATAAGTGTTATGTTGGTAAGAAAATAATCATCATGTTAGTGGGAGCATGATTATTATGGTAAGTATTGCAAGTTAGCAATATTAATTATAGAAAACAAAGATTCACTTTGCCAAGTTGCAAGGGTTGAAAAGTTGTTTTGTTATAATTAAGGGAGAGAATATTATACTTCGTTTCAAAATCTAAAAGCTTAGATCGAGAAATGTTATAAAAATTTAGTCAAGGATACATAGTGCATTCTCAAAATTCGATTATGATTACGACATCCCTCTTCATAGTTCGAATTGTGGGAACAGGGCACATAAAATATTATGGCAGAAGGCTGATAAAGTATCACGTCTTTATGTGAGACATTATGCATCGTGTCCCATACTTCGGGTATAGGATCGATTGCATATGCTATAATATTTGACCCATTCTAAAATTTTCTAAATGCCTAGGGCATTAAGAGGGAAAAGGACTAGAACTGGATTTGGCTAAAATAATTAAACAACTATCAAAGGACGATCTAAGGTTCGCCAAGGATTTGTTGCTTGTGAGAGTTGGAAGTATAGTATTGGATGGACCATATCGACATTATTATGAATAGATAAGATTCTATTGAATGAGTTGTCATATGGCAAATATGGAAATGTTTCCATATTGGGAGTTGGAAATTGAGAATTATGTCTAGATTAGAAACTTTATGCAAAAAGGATGTTCAAAGGAATGTACTTTGAGTGGAGACATCACATCTATAGAATTGTTGTAACAATTTCTGATAGAGACCTGTAATTTCATTAGCCAAGTCCTTGTGACTTTTGTGCTATGACTTTGCGAAAGGATCGTTGCATAAAATGTTAGAATCTAACGTATTCTAGTAGTGGCAAGAACCTTGTGTTCTTACACTAACGATGAGGATTAGGAATTGTGAAATGAGCATCATTGGAAAAATTTTCAATTGATCTATTTCACAAAGCATGGACCATAGGAAACAAAGTGTGCATGCTTGGAGCATGGGACAATTATTGTTGTAATTCAAGTAATAAGTTGATTTTCTGAAACAGTAAGCAATGAATAATGAGTAATCAATATGGTGTTTAAATAAAAGTGTTTTATTTACGCTCAAAAGTTTTGGGGCCATATAGGATTAAGTATTATCGTTGTGTTTCATTTTGCATGTTTTGACTTCCAGAATAACTGGGTTATTCGAACCTCCACAGTCGGTCATACGTTGGAAGTAGGTATGAAGGAAGACTGTCATGAATTTGTCTGTAGATTGTCTAAGTGTTTAGACAAGCACAAGTTTGCTGCAGAGTTCATGAGTGCTTTAAAGATTAGAGTATTGGATTAAACTCACGCTCACTTGAATCACTTCATGTTTTTATCACGAGTGGTTGTGAGACGATAACATTGTATATTCTTGAAACCGAGACATGTGAGTTGTTATTTGTTGGTCGGTTGCGCATTGATAATAAGAAAACGCACCAGTAACTTGGTGTTATAAAACTTATTGTTATGTGTGATTCGATCAGTAAATGCAAGGAGGCATTGAGTCGAAGTTTATCCATTCCTTTTACCCAAAGTGGGATAAAGCGATATATATGGGGCCTCTCGATGATTTAGTGATGACACCCTAAGCGCTTGGCCAAGCCGGGACTGAGTTGATGTGTTCAATTGTAGTCTGTTGTCAGTCGTCATAAATCGGAAGTCGGGAAACAGTATAGAGAGAATGATCGAAATTCATGTCTTGTGTCTATACGATATCTCGAATATGGAGGAATATATAATCCCTTATCTAAAGGACACGCGTATCTGATAAGATCAGAGTTGACAACGACTTTTGAAAGCTACGATTGTTGATCAGGTTCTGAAGTTATACAGAATAGTTATTAGACTTATCCAAGTGGGAGACTGTTGGATTAGTGTCTAAGTCCATAACTATTTTGGTATGTACTTGACCCGATTATGAGCATGGTCCTTTTGGGTTGCTTTCACCATAGCAATATGTAGGATGAATTAAGGAGATAAAGTTTTAATTATGATTTATTAAGATATTATGAGAATAATATATTAAAAGGAGAAATCATATTGTTTAATTAATATTAGTCAAGAATTAATTAAGAATTAATTTAGTGACTAAAAGAGATTAATTAAACTTAGGGGACTGAAATTGTAATTATAGGATAATTGCAATTGGGCTATGAATCACCTTGAAATAATAGGTTGGACGAATTCTATGGGAAGCCCATTAGAAATCGTCCAAGGCATGTTCCAGAAGGGGTCCATGGGCTGCTTAGGGCTTAAGCAGTCAAATTAGGGTTTCCTTGTTAGATAACCCTAATTGCCTACCTATTTAAAGAACCCTTGAGACCTAAAAACGTGGCTAAGACTTTCTTTAGGGTTTCCAGCCGTTTTTGGTGTCTCCTCTCTCCTCTCTCTTCATCCAAGTTGCTTAGTGGTGTTTGTGACTCCATTAGAGGTGCAACACTTGAGGCACTAAGCTTTCTGAAGCCAATCAAAGCAAGGAATTGATTGTTATTACTATATAACAATCAAAGGTAATTACTAAACCCTTATTTCAGTTCTTATATGATAGATCTAGGGTTTATGGCTTTGGATATTCAATTGCATGTTCATTAGACAAACTAGATCCAAAAGCTATTAGGGTTTGCATGTACACCATAGGAATGATGTATTGCTCGAAACCCTTCAAATATGAGCCAAACCCAAAGGTGGCTTAGAAATGTCCCAAAATGGCAAGATCCAAGTCTTAAAGGAGATCTATCAAATGATAAGTCAAGGTTCAAGCTTTTTACCTTGAATGAACTAGAAATGGAGCAAAATCTCTGGATCCACTTGCTTCTTCAAGAACTCCCAAGCTTCCACTTCTTCCTTCAACTTCAAACACATACACAAAAGGCACCAAAAGGCTCAAGAACACACAAGAAGGGCTAGGGTTTCGAGTTAGGGTTTTCTGGAAGTGAGAGGGGCGATGGAGGCTAGTTTGGGACGAGTTAAGTTGTTTAAATAGGGTGCAAACCCTAAATATTAGGGTTTTGTCCAGACAACTCCTACTCGTCGAGTCGGTCACTTAAACCCCCGATCAAAAGTCGAGTCTACTTGACGAGTTGGTCCTCCAACTCGCCGAGTCCCAGAGTAAATTGCAACATTTTTGAATTTAAATACGTACCAGGAATCGGGTGTTACATTATATATATATATATATATATATATATATATATATATATATATATATATATATATATATATATGAAAAGAAATCATAAACTATTGAAATGTGAAAACTAAAACTTTGAAAACTTTTCTGATATATATGTTACAAATTTTGTCGGATGAATGTTTGAAAGGGAGGGAATTTAGTTAAAAGGGAGCACGTGTAAAAAAGAAATTTTAATGGGTAATTTTTTTTAGAACGGCAGTAAATTTATTAAATAATAGGGTGTCTACTGATGACATTGCAAATCTTTAAAATTAGGTAATATGTAGTAATATTTACCTAAAGTTGTAATATTTCAAAATTATGGCCAAACTACTAAAAATAGCAATATACTTTAAATATCCAACATACATTAATGCTTCTCATGTGAAAGCCCCTCCATTTACTAAATCTACCCTTGGATGTAAATTAAAACCAGTAGTAAACAATTAAATGGCATCTTCATAACAAAAGATTAAAAGCAACATTTAACCTCCAAACATGGGTGTCACATTTTTCTATACATGAATATAAATATGTTAAATACACTTCTAACCAGGCAAAATATAAGATTAAGTTTTATGGATATGATCGACCCAACCAGGTGGGACCAGAATACTTTATTCAGCAAAATATTGTCAGCAAAAATATTGATGGTTGGGAACATGAATAGTAAGACTCATAAATATCTTTGTATTGTATATCCCTATCCCTATATTTAAATAAAAAGATCTATAACTCCATATTGTATTTTCTTATGTTATCATATTAAACCATTAACAACATGAATAATATTCTTTTTTTCTTTCCAGAATTCCCATTTACATCAATCAGTTAATCAATCAAAACTAATATAAATCATAAAAACCCAAAACCAATCCTCAGACTCAGAATGTGTCCTTTCAAAATTTGTCTAGTAAAAATACAATACAATAATCCAATTTTCCATCCATGTAAAAAAAACACATACACGTGTATGTCCCCTATGAATTCACCAGATTAGTTTTATACATATGATGCATCATCATCATCATCATGGTCATGTTCATGCATCTCGGCTAGTAAGCTGTGAACTTGCAATATGAGAGAGCCTTGAAGATGCCATTAAAGGTGCTTCTTCATCTACTGCACTACTACTCCTTGTATTATCATCATCATTAATCATTCTTTCTGGGATAATAGTTTCAGGAGGAATTTGAGATGATGCTTTCACATCTCTAACCTTTATGTAGTTGTACATCACCACACCACAAAGTGCTACAAACAAATTTTAATCAATCTTTTTAGTTACTATTTTCCTGATGAGAATGATATTTAAAAAATTAATAATGATATTTCGCATACCAATGGCATAACCGATAATATTGAGCCCGGTGATGGCAGATTCTGGAAATATTACAGTTGAAAGAGCAATCAATATCCAATCTTTCAGGACACCTGCTACACGAATTGTAACTGCTCCTGTTCTTCCAATCACTAAGAAATTGAGAGGTTCAATGCTAAAGCACATAAAGCGTTTGAGAAGAAAATCCAGAAGTTGAATTGAATTTGTGAAACTTCCATGTTACTCTTCTCCAACAAATACCATGGCACAAACAAGAATGCAAAACTGCAGGGGCAAAAAGGGAAACACATGAAAAAAGGGTATCAATCAAGGAAAGTAGTAGTGAGCATTGTGTGGAATAATTAACTTATACCTGCATGGAGCTATGTAATATAAGCTTGTAATAGGGTTTAGGGTTAAACCCTTTTTTTGTAGAAGGACTTGAGTTAAAACTAGCCTCAAAGCTTCTGCAAAGATGCCTGTTACTTGGTAAAGTGTCCCTATAACATTAAAATGGATTTCTCCATATGAAGAAATCACAACTCCAACACTGACCAACAGCATGTTCAACAACACATCCCACCTCAGCTTGTCAGTGCCACATAGGACTGCCATGATAAGTGTTGCTACTGGCACTGTGTGTGTCCATTCCAAAATACATTCACTCAGTTATATTATTTATAAACAAAGTTTAAAAAAAAAAAGATATATAGATAAGAGTTTTGCATACTTAATGCTTTCAGCATTTGGATGAAGGCCACTGATATATGCAAGTATGCAGTGTTGCCAAACCTGCAATGTAAATATACAGTAACTTCACACTCACATAAAAGATGGAGGAAAATAAAAGTCTATATGATATAAATGATTCTTACCAGAGACTTGATGCGAAGAAAGCACTGATGGGAACTACACATGTGGCATATCTGTCAATGCCCATGAGAAAAGAATTCTTAATGGAGGCTTAAAGTTTGTTAGAAACTACACAAATTGAATTATGAAGTAGATATCTTACATTTCAAACGTCATTTTAACCGGAGTAACAACCTGCAGTATAATTGAAAGAAGATAAGTGAAAAGAGCACTTGTTAAATTTATTCATGAAGATAGGCATTGATTTTGAGGCATGCTTTAAATGGGATTCTTTAATGATTATATAAATGAATTGTACCTTAAAAACACGAACAAGAAAGAATGCTACTGCTCCAGAAAAGCCCATATGGATCATAGTGAGAGTGATAGGAAAGGGAAAATTGAAGTATTTTGGAGAGAGAACCCACTGCAAATAGATATATAGATGATAAGTAAGGGAAAATTAGATGTTGAGGCATCAAATGAAAACAATGTTGAATTACCTTGTTGTACAGAATAACTCCAGATGACAGCAAAATGTAGATTAATAGGTAAAGGTAAGTCAAGAAAAGTGACTTGTTCATCATCATTTTAGCTGCTTACTTCACAAGATTTCTCCCTTTATGTTTTAGTTCCCAGATTCAGAACATACAATGAGTTCTCTCCCACTCATCAAAAACAAGGGGGAAACCTCACCTTCTGCACCATAAGTAGTACCCTACAAAGTGATAAGATTTGAATGGTGAATTGCTACTTCTATATGTGAAAGAAAGCCACATTCAGCAACTAAAATCTGATCTGAAATCATTTCAAATTTAACTCACTGGACTGCTTGAATCTTTGGCTAGATAAAGTAAAATTTTGATGAAATTACAGCTAGCTAATTGTCTTAAAAGATCACTTGTTGGCTTTCTCTATTGGATATATTGGATATGAACACTAGACAAGTTTCAGGGTTTATATACAGACGCGATTTTTCATCGGAAGTTGTTAAATCTGTCAATGCCGGAATAACCTACCCTGGTAGAATAGCGATGCGATTCCCAGGAAGTAGGAACTACGCTCTCGATCTCTGGGGATATCAGTAGGAGGCAGTAATTAATTCTAGCATTAAGCAGATAGCGAAGTTCATAGATAAATATGGAACAAACAATTGTTTTATATGATTAAATCTACAGTAAAGCAATGTAAATGCTAATGAAAACCAGAAACTGTTCGAAAGTAAAAGTGCTGATCTACATCGAGAAATGGATACATGTATATATTCGGTAGAACAGTGATTTACCTTTGAAGATCAATTAATTGAGAAGCTTTTCAGCAAGGAATATGTAGCTGGCCCCTAGAAGCAGCAACACCAATTTGTGTGTGTGCAGTGTACACTGTTCAATGGCGGATTTAGCTTTACGGGGGTGGGGCAACGGCTTTCCATGGAGTCGTCGGTCGTGGATGGATTAATACTGGTTTCTGTATACAATATCAAAGCCCAGTTGAATTTGAATTAATATTCCAAAGCCCAATCTATTTTAAATTTTTAATCATAAAAAGATAAACAGAAAATATAAAAATGTTAACCGAACTATATAAAATATAAAAAATAAATTAATTTAGAAAGAAAAGTGATTTGTATACAATAATTTTTTTATACACACAACAATTTGTGGAGTAAAGTATTGTATTGTATTGTATTGTATAATTCTATAAAACATATGTTGTGTATGGAAAAAAGTTATATACAAATCACTTCTCATTTAGAAATAGTGAAAATAACTGATATTTTTGTATTTCACAAAAATAACCAACAAATCCAAAATCATCATTTTAGATATAAGTGGTGTGGTTGCTTATTTAAAGGAAATCTGAAATGTGGTACCATTACATTTCAGATTCTCTTGAATCAATGGGAAATGGAATATCAGTGGTGAAGAGACTGAGACTTGGATAACCGGGTATGTTGTTTCTAGATTACTCTTAAAGAAGCAACACAGACTATCAACAAATCATTTTGCCCTTACATGTGATGCTATCTATAAACATGGAGGATTTGGCAAGGGTCGATATACAATCTGATAAGTCGATCATTAAGCTCAAGTTCTTTATATGAAGAGTCTCCTTCTAGTTCTCCCTTAAAACAACCTCATCTTTATAATTCTACTCAAATCGGTTCAACTCATCTACATAGAAGTGACTCAGTGAGTGTGTGAAGTGTGAACCTTCCTTGGCATCGATTCATGTAGATGGAAATTAATTAAGATTTACCCAAATCAGAAGGGGTGCTAAATGCAAATGCTAATGTTTTTCTTCCATAGATATACGGGAGTTGTTTATGTTTAAAAGTTCTAGTAAAAAGAATCTTCTATAATCTATACTCTTCCAAACCTTTAAGGTGTTTCATAATATGTTTTTGTTTAAAAGTTGTGGACTAAAATTGTATTTTCTAATTTTCCCATTTCTTCGAGTTAATAAAAGAAACAAGATACCTCTATAATCTCAAAGAAAAGCAGCACATTTCTAGCATGGAAAACATCTCAATATAATCTTAACCCGAGACAATTGCATTACAAACAATCCTTGAAAGTTTCCAAGAAACCTTACACATTTGTAAAGATTAAGAAATTTAAAACCTTGCTGGTAAACATCAAACAAAAGAATGATTCTACAAATCATACATAAATATATATGCTACGTTTAGGTGGCCTGTTGTTCAAAAACAATAAACATATATAATATTCAACATAAATAGAGAGATGAATTCACAAGTGTGGTGCTTCTGTTTGAGGTCCATGTCGAGCATTCAACAATGGCTGCAGTGCTTTAACAACAATGCTCATATTTGGCCTAAAATCAGCTTCATATTGCACACACAAGGCTGCAACTGCTGCCATCTGTCATTACCAGATTATCACACAAACATTAATTAATCGGTCAAGAACTTAACCTGGACAGCCATACAGGGTTGTAAGGGTAAAATGGTCATTCAGACGCTATTAATTACACACCTTGGCAACTGCCTTTGGGGGGTATTCTCCATTCAGTCTAGTGTCAACACACTGTTTCACCTTATCTTCACTAAGTTTTGGTGTTGCCTGATCACATTATTTTCACATTCAAAAACACATTTAGATTTTTTGAAAAAAAAAATAAAATAAAACAGAATTATGAAACTGTACCCAAGTGACTAGACTCTGTTGACCACGTGGCAAAGTATGGTCAACGGGTTTTCGGCCGGTCAAGAGTTCCAAAAGAACAACTCCAAAGCTGTAGACATCACTCTTTGAGCTGAGCTGTCCAGTCATGGCATACTCAGGTGCATGATAGCCAAACGTTCCAAGAACACGGGTGGAATGAAGTCTTGCTGCCATGTCAGGAGCTTGGTTTGACAAGTCAAAATCTGCAATCTTTGCAACATCTTCATCAAAAAGAAGCACATTACTTGACTTTATATCACGATGAATAATATGAGGTTGTGCTTTTTCATGTAAGTATTCGAGTCCTTTTGCAGCCCCAACTGCAATTTTAACTCTCTGAGACCATGATAATACCGGACCTGGTTGTGCACCTTTTACACCTTTCCTTCCTACACCCACAAAGTTCACCATAAGTCTTTCTCTCCATATTAAGTGCTTAACCCATTAAGTCAAAAAGATTAAAACTTGCCATGAAGAATATCATGAAGAGATCCATTTGAAGCATACTCATAAGCAAGAACTCTCAAACCACCATCTACACAGTATCCAAGTAGCTCAACAACATGATCATGCTTAAGCCTTGATACCATAGAAACCTGTTATCCGTATTACAATTTAGAATATTCAACTCTAATTTCCCATATATACAAGATATTAGCAAGTGCCAAGTGTAAATCAAACCTGAGCTAAAAACTCCTGATCTGGTTGCTTACTAGAGTCTAACTTTTTAATAGCTGCAGCTTGTCCGCTTCTTAAAACACCATGGTAGACTCTTCCATATGATCCCTCACCAATTAATGACTTTGTACCAAAATTATCAGTAATTTCCTTCAATTCGTCCACCTGGACAGTAGGAACAGCAATGGGCTGAATGGCTACAGCTTGTGTGTCCTTTGGTGCGGCTTCAGTCGTGCGATAGCCTCCATTGTTTCCTTAAGCAATATAAACTCTCGCCATTAAGCTGTGATCCGATAGAAAGATGTGAAGAAGGTAGAGTAGAAAGTTACCTGCTGCGTTATTTGCCATGTAAGGTCCATTGTCGTAAGACTTATGCATGTCATCTTCTCCGCAACAGCTGAAGCAACTCATGATTACTTTCCTCTAGCGACAAAGCTGGGTTACAATCAAAGAGATACCAATTAGGGTAAACTTCAAATCGAGCAGCAGCTAGCTTCTATAAGATTAAGAATCAGAAACATGCTCTTGTTTGTAATTAATTTTTTTCTAGGTCGAATACAGTTTACAAAGAAGCGCGTACAATGAATAGTAGAAAAGATAATTGCTCTTGTTGGTTTGTTCCCACTTTAGAAGACCCAAAATTCAACAAAAGCATGTGGTCTTTAATGCAATCAAAAAAGGCCTAAAGACTAGAATTGAATAACCAATTTCAGAATTCAGATCTACCTTCAACCAGCTATGGATCAATCGAGTAAATTAAAACAATATAGAGAGAAAGATCCAAGATTCAGTTTACGAAATTGACTAAAATTTAAGAAAATTGCAGTGCAAACAGTTCAAAGAACATGTAAATTCAAAAGGTTCTGATGAAACTGAAGAACCAGAGAAGATTATCAGGGAAGAATAAGGAAGAACCTACCTAAGATTTTTGCAGTGGTTGACTCAGTGAACGATATTGCTTAAAAAAAAATGAGTTTTTTTTGTAATAATAAGCAGCAGCAAAGAAAGAAAGAAAGATTACAAACACAATTGTGTTAATTACGCTTTGTTGGCTAGTAATATTGAGCGAGCGAGAAGACAGACGGCTAAGATAAGCCAACTAGGAAAGCGCGTAGGCTAAAATCGGGATGCAAATGGGAAGTTGGAAATCGAGTAGACTATAACTATATATAGATATACATAGATATTTTATAAATCATAAAAGATCTTTTAAAAAAATCTAAAATATAATTCGATCACTAATAATCGTTAGAAAAAAAAAATGCTAAAAGATTCAGTTATAATTTATAACGTTTTTTAATGTGAGAGAATAATCGATATAAGATAATCAAATATTGTGAATAATGAAAACATAGTGATTCTACAAAATTTGTAAATGAAATATGAAAGCTTGTAAATAGTTTGGGTTTTGAACATTGAACATGCCCTAGATAGGATATTATTAGGTGAAATAATAATATTCCAACTTCCAATTAGCCAACCTAGCATGGGTACCTAATCTAATGAGGAAGAATATTATGCTCAATAATGTTATACGATATTTTAATTATGAAATAAAATGTAGATTTCTACGATTTTGAAGAACATAATTTCACGACATTACAAAATAGTTGTAAGTTTAACAAATATAGAAATACTTTATATGCTTTTATTTAATTTAACTTTTTTTAAATTTTAAACATGTAATCTTTTAAGGAAAAATATATTACTCTCAAGCAATAAGTATTTGCATGTTAAATTGCTAACTACTATTGCATAGATATTTAGTATATACATTGGACTTTGAATTTTTATTTTGATTATCCAAAAAGAATTAAACATTTTTTGTCAGAATCAAATGATGGACCTGTTCATATAATGGTTTAAATATTTAATTGATATAAAAAGACAAAAGAAATGTAGTAGAATAATCCTTGCTGGCGTTTGTTGGCTTGTTGAATTTTATAATCTAAAAAGTAAAACCTCCCTCGTTAACATTGAACAACCCTACCCTTTCCTTTTCTTTTTATAAATAAATATTACTCTGTTATTCAAATTGTAAGATCACACGCTTCAATAATTTAACAATTTATTCTCTTCAGCGACAATTCTCAAATTGCTACAAAAAACAATCAAGAAAAATTGTAACCAAACATCATCTAACAAATAAATATCACAAAATTGTGTAAAGCATGCATCACAAAAACATTCACAGTCTACATGTTTTCTTCATGTGATCGCAAAATATACTTATACTTTTACCTATATAATAAATTTCAAAAGATATTCCCGATTAACATTCAACTGACACAAACAAACAAACATCAAACTCGTAAACCTCAACCACATGAAAATTTTCAAATCACTTCCTTCCCTTTCCCCTTTTATTACCAAATTTACCCGTTTTCTTACCTTTTTTGGGATTACTCTTCATAAAAGCAGCTTTAGTTGCTTTTGTTTGCCTATCTTTCCTAACCTGTTCAAGATTTTTAACTTCTGACCTCACATGAGCATTAGGAACCATACGACCTTTAAATCCTCTGTTATTACGTCCCCTTTGCATTCCACCTCCTGCATTTTTTTATAAAATTTAAATATATATATATATATATATATATATATATATATTAAAAAGTCAACTGTATGCATATTATATACCTTTGAGACTTGTAGATTCCATAGCACTACTACTACTACTACCTTCATTGTTTGATCCTTGAAAAGATATCTTACTGTGTGACTTTTCTTTCCATCTTTTATATATTCCTGTTTTATTCGCCTTCCCTTTTTTACCACTCTCTGTTATTATCTGTATATACACATACACACAAGTAAATAAAATAGTACAAACATATTTTTACAACCAAAATTCAAATAAAAAATATTTTAAAATACCTTCCCACTAGCTGACACACGATCACCATTGTTCAACTTGACATACTTTTTACTCCTCTGTCATCATATATATAAATAGTTTAAACATAAGTAAAAAAGTAGAATAATATATATATATATATATATATATATATATATATATATAAATTAAAAATAAAAATAAAAAAGTCAAACCTTATCCCAATGGAACGAGGATTTCTGTTTTTGTAATCCGCTGCTATCATCTGCAGCTAAGTCAAGAACAGCAGACTCCAACCTATTTCATCAATCAATACAAGTTTTCAACTTTATATTATCAATTTTTTTTATAAAAATGATCAGAAGCAGTTATTAATATTTACCTGTTGGAAACAAAGCCTCCGTTATTTCTGACTGAGAGACCTGCCTCAAAATGCTGCAAAAAGATATCAAGATTGGATAAAATATGATTCTTGTAATTTTATTAAAGATAAATATATATAATGTTACAGAGTCAGGAGAATGAAAAGTTACTTGATTTGTTGGCACTGAACTTATAAAAAACTCCTCATCCTTGAAGCTTTGTGCCTTCCTTTTACTACCAGAAACTGCCATAAATATCAATTAATTATCAAACTCTATATATGTAAACTTTTACTATGTCTCTAATATAAAGTACAAAAAACAAATATACACAATTCACAAACCTTTCTTTCCCTTCTTTAGTGATGCATTATCTATATCTTCAACTTCCTGCGAAGCCATATCACATAAAAGAATAACGAATTGGAAAAATAATAAAATCAATGATTTGAACTATCTTGATTGCTGAAAATGTTTGAATGAAAAGAAATAAATATGGGATTCACCTTTGCTGCTTGAGTGTTAGAGTGCTGCTGATTTACTTTATTAATGATCTTCTCATGAATAGCTCTTTTCATCTTCATTACATCTACCCACTGGCTAGAAGGTCCCTGAAAATATTAAATATGCAAAAACTGCAATTAATACAACAAAATGCTTTCAAAACAACTTCAAGTCTCCGAAGATATAGTTATTTACAACCAATCCTAGGGCTCAATGTATGAAAAATAACAGGCATAACAAACTCTTGTTAGTATTAAAAATTTATATAACAAGGAATAAATCTGTTATTACCTGCAGATGCTTTGCTTTGGCAGCATGACCTTCAGATTCCAAGACAGTTTGCTTTGCTCTGAAATTAGTTATAGCTAAGAGTCAAAAGGTACAAAAAGTCAAAAAGTCAACTATACATCTTTAACAAAACAATTCACCTGTATGCTTTTAGGCTCTCAGAAAATGCTAATGCAGATAACTCATTCCCACCCAACTGTTTAATAAACATGGGATGCAAGCCTTCACGTGGCATATTCTTAGCTCTTTTGATACTCTCTCTAGAAGGCTTCTCTTTAGTTTTCATATACAACCTAAAAGCCCTTTCACAAGGCCTCAACAAACAATCCAATTCAGTAGATGAATCAAGAATCTCTCGAACCCTATCTGCAACAAGATCAATAGCTGTTTGTGGAAACCTCCCAAAAACCGTTTCACCATTCAACATTGCCTCTTCAATTCTTTCCATAACCCCTTTCATGTCTCTCAAAACCTCTTCTTCAGTAGGTGCAGGTTTGATTGGTTTTGAAAGAAAAAGATGCAAATCAAGAAGATAAGCCATGTCTTCAGAAGTCACAAAGGAAAAAGCAGTACCCGTTCGACCCGCCCGTGCAGCTCGACCCACCCGGTGCACAAAAAGCTTCGGTTTTGGAGGGAAATCCCAGTTTATAACATTGTCAAGAAGTGGGATATCAATCCCTCTAGCAGCAACATCTGTCACTATAAGAAACATGGTTTTTCTTGATCGAAATCTTGCAACGTTAATCTTTCTATCATCTTGATCCATGTCACCATAACAAACAGAAGGTTCTATACCTTCTTCTCTTAACAAATGATCAAGAAACTGGACATGATGCTTTGTAGACACAAATATTAAAGATTGTTCATCTGATCTTACGTGTTCTCTAATCAAATACAACAAAGCAGCTAGCTTTTCTTCTTGTCTTAATGAAAAGAAAGTAAGTTTCAAATCAGGACTGATTTTAGTCTCCAAATCGAGCCTAACAAGTTGTGGGTCCCTCAGCCCTGCTTTTGCAAACTCAGCTAGAGCACTTGGTAAAGTTGCACTGAAGAGTAAAGTCTGTCTATTGTCACCTAGCTGTTGAAGGATTCTGTGCAACTGTTCAGCAAACCCCATGCTGAAAAGACTATCGGCTTCATCAAACACTACATATTCAACTGACCTTAATGACATGTCATCCACTTCTTCTAAATGATGCATGAGTCTTCCAGGAGTTGCTATTATGATATCAGGGCTTTGTGCTAATTCTTCAAATTGACTTTCCATACTATCACCACCAACTAGTAAGCTAACATGAAGGTCTGTGAATTTGCCAAGTTCTTGAGTGAACTTAAGTGTTTGAAGAGCAAGGTCGCGTGTGGGTGATAAAATTAGGGCTCTAATACCAGACTGAGAGACATGTTGCTGCAGTCTCTCGAGCATGGGGACTAAAAAAGCTGCTGTTTTACCGGACCCTGTTCTTGCCATGGCAACAACATCGGCTCCAGAGAGAATGAGTGGCATTGTTTTGCGTTGTATTGGTGTGGGAATTCGGTATCCCTTGCGTTTAACGCCTCTGAAGACATTGGAGCTTAGGTTTAAGGATTCGAATCCGCCTGATTTTGCTTTCTTCTCTTTCTTTTCTTTTTTCTTCAGCTCTGTTACAGAGCTTACAAGAAGGGGTTTTCCTCTCCCCATTGAGTGTGGGACAACTACGATAAATACAAAATCCAAGAAAGAAGAATAAGCAAATTGAAAGAACAGCAACAGATGATATCCAATGAAGAAACTTAAAGCATTAACTTATATTTTGCAATAAACCCTTTCTGGAATATGCATTCACAGAAATAAAGTCCGAAAAACCATGAAGGTTAACATAATACACCTTACACGATACATGCATCAATTCACTTTCATGGTCCAGATTTCAATGGAGAAATTCATGGCCTGGGGTTCGAAGGTAACAGAAAGCAGGGGTCGAAGAACAGATTTCGTATATCAACAGATTCCAGATGGAAAATTGAAGAAACACGCCAGCGATAAGAAGAAAGAGCGACAGCAGAAGAAAAAAAAATAGAACGAATGCAGGAAGAAACGAACCTGTAGCTGTGGGGTTGAAGTTCGAAGGTCTCCAGCAGCTGTGGGATTGAAGGTCGAAGGTCTCCAGCAGCTGTGGGGTGCGGCGCTCCGGCCGGTGGCTTCACAGGCGATGGAGAGAAGCAGCACAAATGAGGCGTCTTTTTTACAGGCGCTGTTTGTATCGTGTATGGTGTATTAGGTTAAAGGGTTATATCGGTCAATTCGTCAAAACGGTGGAATAAGGAGTTTGTTTTTAATTACGTATATTTGCATGTAGCAAAGAAAACAAAATAAAATAAAATAAAATAAGGAAAATATATATATATATATATATATATATATATATATATATATATATATATATATATATATATATATCTTTTGTGTTTCTGAGTTGAGAGAAATTAAAGGAAAATTAAATATTTTATTCTGTTTCTTCAAATCCTTCTAAATCAGAAAGAAAGTTAGGAGGGAAATGATCATTTTTCTATTTCTTTCTATTAATGAAACTCCGGAACACCAATTTCTTTTATTTTTTTCTTACTTCCACCCATTTTCTTTCTTTTTTCTCGTTAAAAATTGAACTTAGGAACATGGTATAAGTAAGGGAAACCAACTTATAAAAAATAGCTTATTATAGGGATGAGCATGGAACTGAACTGGTATTAACCGGTATTGTTCCTGATTTCTCGAAAACAGAATTTCATCGAAATTGAATCCCGAGTACCGAACCGAATTAACATTATCGGTATCGGTACAGAGAATAGTATCGGTTTTCGGTACTAGTATCGGTACCATCAATTTCGTGATTTTAGAGTACCGAGTACCGTTCCATATTTTTAAATTTGGTATTAGATTGCCATTTCTCCTTACTTCTTAATTAGCTAGTTGTATGTCACACTTAGATGATTACTCAAAGCGTCCAAATAATTGTATATATAACTTAAAAATCCATACCACATGAATTATGATTAGTTTGTCTCTATAATTATTATTTCCTAAAAACAATAATTACCTTTATGTCGGTAACATATTATTTTCATAAAATAATAATTTTCAATTAAATACAAGAAATATAAAATATTTATCAATGATCAAAATCTTATAAATAATATATTAACATCATGTTGTTGTTAGTGTGACCCTTTATGATTATATATTATCTAAGCAAATATCATCATATAATGGTGAACATCTACCAACATAGATTTATATAGATAATGGTGAACATCTACCAACATTTCACTTCCCCTAGTAATATATGACTTTGTGTCGTAATATCAACATCCAATTCCCAGAAGCTCAAAGCTGCAATTAATGTATAATGTAAGTTTATCAATTATTCATTTGTTACAGACATCTTGTTAAACATGAGACTTAGACCGCAATCAATTTCATTTGATGTTCAACTTGGGTAATGTGTATTAAATGTCTAGCTAACAAATCTCATGTTAACTACATAAGCCTCTTGGATAGTTCATATCACACCTGATAATAGCTTTTATATATGTTTGTTTAAATATCAACATTTGACCACATCAAAGTATAACATTCCCTACACTTAAGTCCTTATATGCATCTCAGGTATTAAGGATACAAAGTTAATACCTTTTATCAAGTATCACTCGTGATAGCGACCCATGACGTGATCTTGATGCGGGGCATGTTCAATATTAGTTTTTTGACAAGTACTTGTGAACCTTGGGTAAATCTGCCAATGTCGGAACAACCCGCCCTAATAGAATAGTGATGCAATTCCTAGAAAGTAGGAACTACGCTCTCGATCTCTGGAGTTATTCGTAGGAGGCAGTAGTTAATTCTAGCATTAAGCAGATATCGAATTTCATAGAAAAAATATGGAACAAACAATTGTTTTATATGATTAAATCTATAGTAAAGCAATGTAAATGCTAATGAAACCTGAAACTGCTGAAAGTAAAAGTGATTATCTACATCGAGAAATGGATACATGTATAGATTATGATAGAACAGTGATTTAACTTCGAAGATCAATTAATTGGGAAGCTTTTCAGCAAGGAATATGTAGTTGATCCCCATAAGCAACGACACCAATTTATGTATGTGCAGATTGTTCAATGGAGGATTTAGCTTTATGGGGGGTGGGGCAACGACTTTCCATGGAGTCGTTGGTCATGGATGGATTAATATTGGTTTATGTATCCAATATCAAGTGTTAAAAGCCCAGCCTGAACTTGAAATAATATTCCAAAGCCCAACATGTTTTATGCTGAAAATATAAAAATACTAACCGAAATATATAAAATATAAAAAATAAATTATAACAAAAAATGATTATGACACCATCCCTCTTTAATTTTGGTAAACGATTTTGTACTTTTTTTTTTTGGTGATATTTACAAAAATGATAGTTTCTTAATTTAGGAATCGTAAAAAATAACATTTTACAAAACTGACCTACGAATCCAAAGTGAGGTATTATGGGTCCGAGATTGATGGGTGCCTACCCATGTAAGTGGTCCTTTCCTCTGTAAAGGAAATCCGAAGTGTAGTACCATTACATTTCAAAATGTCATTTCGGATTCTCTTGAATCCAAGGGAAATAGAATTTGTCTGTGAAGAGACTATGGTGTACCGGTATGTTGATTATGGCTTATACATCTTGTTTACATTTTTTTTATGAGAAGACTCGATTCAAAACAGAAACCCATGTCTAGAATCCAAAGAACTGGTATGGAATGATAAATGTTTGGTTTCGTAGTACCCTGAGGGGGTGTTTGGTACAGAGAAATAAGACGAGAGAAATAGAATTGATTCCATTTCTCTTGTTTGTTTAACACTAAGTGTTTCTCATTAGTTAGGCTATGATAGTAATTATTGTGTTGGTTATTAAGAATTACCGTGGAGGAAATGTTTGACTGATAAGACAACCATAGTCTGAAATCCGAAATACATGTATGAGACATGTGTATGGAATGAAAACCTTGTTCAAAATATACGGGAGTTGTTTGCATTTAGAAGTTATTGTAAAAAGAATCTTCTATACTCTTCCAAACATGTAAGGGAGGAGGGAGTCATTCCCTCCCAACCCATTAAACTCACTGCCACATCACTTTTTCTCTTTTAATTTTTTTTCATCTTTCCCAACCCACAACACACGAAAACTCTATCTTTTTGAACCCACTCAACACATTCAATTAAAAAAAAATACAAAACAATCAAGGTAAAATCTTAATTATCAATAGAGTTACCGCCGGTACTACTCCCGCTTCAACGGGTTGTTTAATTGATTTCACTAACCCACTTCATCATCTCTCTACTTTCTCTCTCTCATTTTCTCTTGTACCATGTGTTTTAAAACTTGTACCTTAATTGTTTTGTATTTTTTTTAATTGAGTGGGTTGAGAAAGATAGGATTTTCGTGTGTTGTGGATTGAGAAAAATGAAGAAAAAGAAGAGACAAAAATTGATGTGACAGTAGGTTCAGTGGGTTGGGAGGGAATGACTCCCTCCTCCCTAAGGTGTCATATGTTTTTGTTTGAAAGTTGTGGACTAAAATTGTATTTTCTAATTTTTCCCAGTTCTTCTTGTTAATAAAAGATCAAGACATCTCTGTAATCTCAAAGAAAAGCAGCTCTCATGTGGCTCCACCCTTGCAAATAATCCTTGAAAGTTTCCACGAAATCTTACACATTTGGAAAGATTAAGGCCTTGTTTGGTAGCTTCTTAATTGGAGAATTAAGAGGCAGTCTCTTAATTTTTAAGATCCAGACCGTTTGGTAATATCTGAATTTATAACTCTTAATTTGGGAGTTTCATCTTAATTTTTCAGATATTGGGGCGTGTCTGAATTAAATAAAACGACGCACATTCCTCTTTTGCCCTGCTATTCCGTTTCTTTCCTCTTCTCCTTCTTTCACAAATGTCGACCCATCATTCCCACTCCCACTGCATCTCCGATCGTATGACTACAACCCTCTGCTTTCCCCTCGACGTCAGCTGCCCACCGCCACTGCTTGTGCGGCCATCTCTGACGACAATCAACCCCTCCTACCCATCACCTATTAGTTCTTTCTCTCTCGCCTCTCAAGCTCTGTGCATAATCGCATAATCGACTCTCCGCTTCTCTACATCATCTCTTTCTGGTTGCTACCGCCATTCCCTGAACCAGCTTCGTTCTTGTCTGAAAACCCCTCCGGTTACAGGTGAGACTTTCTTCCTTTTTACCCTAAAACTTGATAATAAGAGTTGAATATGTTTTTTCTGGAATGTTTTGCTTCTACCAGATTTGGATTGGGTTTTATGTGTTGGTGTATGTATAAACTGTTATTAGGAGCATCGATTTTATTTCTCTTTGCCTATAAACTGATTACTAACTTGTGTACATGTTGCTAATCGACAATTCTTGCTGAAATTGATGATGTTTTGATGAAATTGTGTGCTGATTTCATATGATGGTCATATATTCTCTTTATGAAAATTTTGATGGTCTAATTTCTCCACATCTGATGGTATGATTTCTCTTGATATGTGCTAAAAAATTTGTTGCTGAAATCAATAGTTCATGTGACTTGTTTATCGGGAATCATTAGTTCATGTGATTTTTTACTGTTATGTTTTGGTTAATTTTTTGCATATAAAATAGTGATAAAATGTTTGGTTGTTTCTTAAGTGTGCAGGAAGTAGAAGGTCTCTGGTTTAAAAATTCCAAGACATTTGGGTTCAAGACATATGGGATTGGTGGTGGTGTGTATTAGTAGTGGTGTTTTTTTTTTGTTATTGTATGATGTTTGTGTTTCCATGGATTGAAAGAAGTGAATTTGGAAGAATTTATGTATAATTTGGTTATATTGTATGATGTTTCTATTTCAATAGATTGAAAGAAGTGAATTTGAAAGAATTTATGTTTAATTTGATTATTATATGATCACTTGTAATTTTTATCAATTATGTATTTATCATTAGCACAACACATGACTACAGAAGGGTAAATTGTCATTTTTATCATTCAGACTAAAATTCAGAGGTTTCATCCAAACAGCATGTTAAAAGTTCCGATCTTAAAAATTCAGACCCTCTTAGAAATTCAGACCTCTTAAAAATTCAGATCTTAAAAATTCAGATCTTGCCAAACAGCCCCTAAGAAATTTAAAACCTTGCTGACAAACATCAAATCAAATAAAAGAATGATTCTACAGGTCATACATAAATATCTGCTACCTTTAGGCGGCATGTCATTCAAAAACAATAAACATATATAATATTCAACATAAATAGAGAGATGAATTCACAAGTGTGGTGCTTCTGCTTGAGGTCCATGTCGAGCATTCAACAATGGCTGCAATGCTTTAACAACAATGCTCATATTTGGCCTAAAATCAGCTTCATATTGCACGCACAAGGCTGCAACTGCTGCCATCTGTCATTACCAGATTATCACACAAACATTAATTAACCGGTTAGGCACTTAACCTGGACAGCTATACATGGTTGTAAGGGTAAAATGGTCATTCACTCCATAAAAGAAACAGACAAAACAAAACTATGGAAGCTTATAATTACACACCTTGGCAACTGCCTTTGGGGGGTATTCTCCATTCAGTCTAGTGTCAACACACTGTTTCACCTTATCTTCACTAAGTTTTGGTGTTGCCTGATCACATTATTTTCACATTCAAAAACACATTTAGATTTTTTGAAAAAAAAAATAAAATAAAACAGAATTATGAAACTGTACCCAAGTGACTAGACTCTGTTGACCACGTGGCAAAGTATGGTCAACGGGTTTTCGGCCGGTCAAGAGTTCCAAAAGAACAACTCCAAAGCTGTAGACATCACTCTTTGAGCTGAGCTGTCCAGTCATGGCATACTCAGGTGCATGATAGCCAAACGTTCCAAGAACACGGGTGGAATGAAGTCTTGCTGCCATGTCAGGAGCTTGGTTTGACAAGTCAAAATCTGCAATCTTTGCAACATCTTCATCAAAAAGAAGCACATTACTTGACTTTATATCACGATGAATAATATGAGGTTGTGCTTTTTCATGTAAGTATTCGAGTCCTTTTGCAGCCCCAACTGCAATTTTAACTCTCTGAGACCATGATAATACCGGACCTGGTTGTGCACCTTTTACACCTTTCCTTCCTACACCCACAAAGTTCACCATAAGTCTTTCTCTCCATATTAAGTGCTTAACCCATTAAGTCAAAAAAGATTAAAACTTGCCATGAAGAATATCATGAAGAGATCCATTTGAAGCATACTCATAAGCAAGAACTCTCAAACCACCATCTACACAGTATCCAAGTAGCTCAACAACATGATCATGCTTAAGCCTTGATACCATAGAAACCTGTTATCCGTATTACAATTTAGAATATTCAACTCTAATTTCCCATATATACAAGATATTAGCAAGTGCCAAGTGTAAATCAAACCTGAGCTAAAAACTCCTGATCTGGTTGCTTACTAGAGTCTAACTTTTTAATAGCTGCAGCTTGTCCGCTTCTTAAAACACCATGGTAGACTCTTCCATATGATCCCTCACCAATTAATGACTTTGTACCAAAATTATCAGTAATTTCCTTCAATTCGTCCACCTGGACAGTAGGAACAGCAATGGGCTGAATGGCTACAGCTTGTGTGTCCTTTGGTGCGGCTTCAGTCGTGCGATAGCCTCCATTGTTTCCTTAAGCAATATAAACTCTCGCCATTAAGCTGTGATCCGATAGAAAGATGTGAAGAAGGTAGAGTAGAAAGTTACCTGCTGCGTTATTTGCCATGTAAGGTCCATTGTCGTAAGACTTATGCATGTCATCTTCTCCGCAACAGCTGAAGCAACTCATGATTACTTTCCTCTAGCGACAAAGCTGGGTTACAATCAAAGAGATGCCAAATTAGGGTAAACTTCAAATCGAGCAGCAGCTAGCTTCTATAAGATTAAGAATCAGAAACATGTCTCGCTTTTACTTTTTTTTTTAGGTCGATTACAATCTACAAAGAAGCGCGCAAATGAATAGTAGAGAAGATAATTGTTTTTGTTGGGTTGTTCCCACTTTAGAAGACCCAAAGTTCAACAAAAGCATGTGGTCTTTTATGCAATCAAAAAAGGCCTAAATACTAGAATTGACTAACCAATTTCAGAATTCAGATCTACCTTCAACCAGCTATGGATCAATCGAGTAAATTAAAACCATATAGAGAGAGAAAGATCGGAGATTCAGTTTAGGAAATTGACTAAAAGTTAAGAAAATTGCAGTGCAAACAGTTCAAAGAGCGTGTAAATTCAAAAGGGTCTGATGAAATTGAAGAACCAGAGAAGACTATCAGGGAAGAATAAGGAAGAACCCACCTAAGATTTTTGCAGTGGTCGAATCAGTGAACGATATTGCTTAAAAAAATGAGTTTTTTTTTTTTTTTTTGTAATAAACAAGAAAGAAAGAAAGACTACAGACACAATTGTGTTAATTGCGCTTTGTTGACTAGTAATATTGAGCGAGAAGACAGACGGCTAAGATGCGCCAATTAGGAAAGCGCGTAGGCTAAAATCGGCATGCAAATGGGAAGTTGTGAAATGTCGATTTCATTATAAGGCTAAAGGGAGTTACCAAATCAGTTTTTTAATGCCGCTATCATATTTTTTTTTTTTTTTTTTTGACGTCATATAGGTTGGGAGCGTGTTAGCAAAAACGTAGGGAGTGATAGTTTGTTAGTTTAATAAATTTTATTTTTAAAAAAAAAATTTAAAAATATATAAACTTGGATCAGCCAATAAGAACACATTATTCATGTTTCTCTCTCCTCTCTCTTGTCGTTAAGCTCATAGTGAGCCTTCCTTAGCGAGGGTGATAGCATTTTGAAGGGGTGGTGTTTAGCATCTTTAGCACTTCCTTGGCGAGGGTCATAGCATGCCCATTCCCTTCAGCCTAAGAAAACCATCTCAAGCTTTCTTAGTTTCATTTGGTTGAAGGTAACAAGAAATATATTTTACTTGAACCGGTATACTTTTTTTTCCTTTTTATGTAAAAATTCAAATTTCACATTTAGTTTGGGAGTTAAATCTGATTTTTATCTCATTTGAGGACGATGGTTTTGTGTTTTAAGCAAAGTTAAGTTGATTATGTTGGTTTCTAACTCAAATCCATCATCTCATATTTGATGTTGGAATTGTTAAATCTCCATAAACCCTATATTTTTCCAATGATAATGATGATGTGATAATCTAACCCTTATATGATTCAATCACCATTGAAGAAGTTTGATTGCAAATCCTTTATGGAAGAGCACAACTCAAAGCAATGGGTTTATGAACTTTGATGTCGATTGATGGTGTTATAAGGAGTATTTACTATTAGAGTCATGAATTCTATGTTTTGGTTTATATATTGGAGGTCAACATGAAGAATCATCACACCCTAGTGTGGTTCTAGTGATTGTTGAGACAAAAGGGTAAAATGAGAATAAAATAGAGAAATCATGTTCTTGATGTCAATTCTATAGTTTGGATGGTTGAGAAACTCACCATACCCATTTACAAAGTATTTGTTTACATAAATAATAGTAGTCTTATATATTTTGGATCGATTCTATAAATTGGATGGTTGAGAAACTTACCATACATGTTCATGGTGTGGTGTTAGAATCAATGTGCATGGTGGAAGTTCTTATTAATGTCATTAAGCCATTTATCCAATTGAGTACTCATCCATAAATTGGAGCTTAATGACCAATTGATGCCAAATCATTGGGAAAGCCTTATGGATTAAGTCAAAATTATAGATGTGGCTTAATGATTACATATTGGTATTGATATTTTTGGTTGAGGAATAATTAAGTACTTAATGTAATTGGAGTTGCCTTAAGGAATGGAACAAAAATTGGAGGTATGAATCTATCTGCACATAAAGTGCGGTGTGGTCACTCCCTAGCGTGGCGTGCTCTGCCCAACAGACTTCGTTTTGATGTTGATTTGTCCTTCGATTGAGCTTAATTCCAATTTTGTACCTTCCTTATGTTTTGGTGACTTATAATCTGGATTTTTGATACTTGTACTTCTAAGTCTTAGGTTATTTTGAACAAAATAGTAATGTACTTTCAATTCCTATAGGTAGTGATTGAGGGTGGTTACTCGTTGAAGAAAAGTGGTGTAAGAAGTTGGGAGCTAAGGTGAGTTACCAAGAACATACATCCCCCATTTGTTGTGGGTAAAATTTTGACATTTATTTTATTATGCCCAACATCTGGAATTAATGCTAACATCCATGGTAGCCTAAGATGTTGGATTTAGTTAATATCTTCAGGACTGCCATCGTGTTTCTTGTTATCTTTTAAGCTAAACTTAAAGACTCTATAAAAAAGAAATAGACCAGGTTAAAAGACGTGTGGTCAAAGCATGATAACATTAAAGTCATCCTAAAGAACCGGTTCAAGCATGGATCAAGTAGGATCCCTATAATTTAGAAATGTTTATTAATATACACACGTGTAAAATCCTAATTGATCCAATACTCACACACGTTCTCTCTTTTGCTCTCACCTACTCTCTGATAAAACTTAAGCTCTTTTACACTTACATCACGATCAGCTAGCACTTGTAATCATTTTTTGTTAATTTAAGTTCTTAGGCAAGTGATTTCATCACCTCCCGAGGTTTTATGCCGGAGATCTCGAGTTATCAAGGGATTTCCTCGTATATTCTTGTGTTCTTATTCTTACATTTAAGTTTACACTGATCTTTCTCATTTTGCATTGCTTTTATACGATTTAATAAGCGTATTTATATCTAACTACATCTTTGGCGTACAACATTTATCTTGGGATACTTTACAATATATTGACCTTTTTGAACGTATAATTATTCTTTTCAACATTTTCTACATATTTACCACTGTTTTTATCCCAAATTACAAATATATAAATACTCATATATTCGATTAAATCAACATTCTTTAACTTATTTTCTTTATAAAAAATCTTAATATTATTGTCTTATTCTTAGGATATTGGGCACGTCCAAGATTTTCAACATCTTCCAAAATATTAAGCACCTGAAAAAATCTTCTTCTTAAAATCTGCACCTAAAACACCACACCATATTTTACTAATTTGGTTGCAAAGTTATTAGTGTAATTTTTTTTACCAAAACACTACTTAGTCGTTTTTATTTGATAAGTTTTAATTGATTTTCATTGCATGGTACTTTATGTACCCATTGATTGCTAAGTGACTTAATTGTGCATCCATGAAATGTTATTTTTGAAATGTTTTGATAATTGAAGCTAAAAGAGCTTAAAATCTTGGAAAAATGTTTTCATTATCCTATGTGTGCATATTTATACTAGGATGGGCGTGACTTTCAGATGCTGGTGTAACATTGTGATTTTTCACCCATTTTTTAATTTTTAAAACGTCATTTAAAAGAATAATATAACGAAAGTCTTATTAAAAGTTTGTTTGAAAAACATCACAAATGGTACTTTAATATCAAAAACAACCTCTTTCAAAAGTTTTAAAATCACCAAACAAGTTTTCAAAACCAAAAGTAGATGAAATCTCATCCACAAGTCCAAAGTGGTATCATCACTAAAGATATACTAAGTGTAACTACCTAAAATCCCCCATCTTCTCCAATGCATCATAGCATGCTACTTGTACCAAATGCAAGGCAAAAGCAACAAACAAATAAACAGATGTCAGCATACGCTAAGAGGGTCAATCTTAAGTACGGTGTTATGGAATGCACATATCCCAAATAGTTCAAACAAAACATCATAGAAACATGCATTACAACACTCACGTGGCATGGCATCAAATACATCATATAACCAACACAATATTGCTCAAATAGTATTTTTCTTCTTTTAGAGCCTTTACATTTAGTTACACTTCTTTATTCATCTTTGTAACTAGTTATTACTTTGTCACAATTAGCATTTTCAACTAGGAAATTCTATTTTCCATGTAAACATCAGCTATTGTAAAACTTGTACTCTAAGTGAATATCATGTTATATGCTAACATGAAATCATAAATTTGAATCCAAACCCTTTATTGAAGTTCAAAACCTAATACAATACATCTCATATGTTCAACTATGGATTGAAAACCCTAGAAATCTCGGTTCAAGTTTATTATGGACTAGGATCCTCTTATTGGGCCTAAAGGATCAATAAACTTTCAATTTGACTATTTTGGGCCTAGGAACCCTATTTGGGCTCTAATTGGACCCACATCCATGAAACTAAGGTATTTTGGGTCATGTGGGCCTAGAATAATCCATTTTATCTATAATGGGCCATGATGGGCCATAACTAGTTTCATAAGCCCTAATGGGTCGTAAACTACATCATTGGGCTTAATGGGCCGTGAACCCTCAAAAAGGCCCAGTAGGCCGAAAAATATTCATGTTGGGCCTCATAAAATCGGACTAAGTCAAGGGAGGGCCCAAACCATTTCATTTCCTTTTTCCTTGCCCCTCTCTCGGCCCAACAATAAAAAAAAAAGGGGAAAAAGCAAATGGGAGGGAAATTGAGTGACACCTCACTATTGCTTGTTGGATATGCATGTATCCATGCAACTCTCACATCACCCTCAACCTTCCTTCTCTCTTATCTCTCATTCTATATCTAGGCCTCTCACTCACTCTCCAACCTCTCTCATATTTTGTAACATCAGGATTTTCAGGTATCATAAATTGAGTATTTATTTTTGAGTCAAGGAGAGGGACTCGACGAGTTGAGGCCTAGACTCGTCGAGTAGGATCGCGACTGCTGACTAGGATTAATGAATGGACTCGACGAGTCGGCGAGTTGACTCGACGAGCCCGCGCTGTGGATAGAAACCCTAAATCTTTGGGCATGTGCCCTATTTAAGGGTCCTTATGGCCTTCATTTGCGACCACTCATACCCTGGAGAAACCCTAACGAGCCAGAGAGCTTAGAGAGAGAGAGAGAGGGCTAATTTCACCACCATAGTGTTGGGTTTTGAGCATTCTACCACTCATATGGTGTACATGCAACCCTATAAACCTTGGATCTATGTTTTCTCTATTATACATGCAAATATTAACTATTCCAAGGTTTCATCCTAACTAGCATATTATGAAGCATCTATACTACAAAGTTCTAGTTAGATGACATACCTTTTGATGTAGCTTGATGTCTTCAAGCTTTAAGAGCTTAGCCCCAATAGTGTGGAAGCCTCAAATGGAATCACAAATCACCAAAACACCTTGGAAGAACTTGAGAGAATATGTATGCACACTAAAATCGGCCCACTCTTATTTTCACACACTTGTGCCAATTTTGTGAGCCAAGGACCCCTTTATATATTATGGAGGATTAGGGTTACATCCATGTAAACCCTAATACCCATGACCTTTCATTTACATGGACCATCCATGAAAGCTTAGCCCAACCTAAATGAACTTGGCCCATTCCATATATATAAGAGTCCATATTTAATTAGTTCTTTTTTATCACTTAATTAATTCTAAATTAATTCTTGATCAATACTAATTAATTAATATGATTCCATATTAATATATTAGA